ATCGATATTCACTTCCGTCGTTCTTCACTTTATCGTAATTCGCTTTCGTTATTCGGCACTTTGGACGTTCTTTGGAGACTGGGCCGAGCACTAACAAATCATGCCGGGAGAGACGCTGGGAAACTGCCCCCTAATCCAAACTTGGGTTGCCTGTTGGTTGCCTGTRATTAGAGGTGACAACTCTCGTCGAGACGCACGTGCTTTGCTTCCAGGTTTGGACTACTCGTAGAATTCTTTACAAAGTAAGTTCTGTTAATCTTTTTTTAGCATAATGGCAAGAGAAATTATCCTATGAAATACCTTGTTTTCGTTTTATTGTAGTTTAACTTTAATTTCAATAATTATTCAACTTGATATCAAGTAACCTCCCATACATGCCAGACTTGGTTTGAAATCAGGCATTGTCTATCGGTTTTGTTAGGAACACACATTGTTTTTGTTGTATTGGCAACTTAATAAAACATATAATTAGAAGGACTTGTGCACAATCGATCCCTGAAAAGAGTTTGATGAGATAATAAGAAAATTAGACCAGATTTTTWAATAAATGTAGCCCATAAAGAGCAACGCGCGACGCGACTCGTTGACTCCATCGCGGAAATCACCTTTACGGAAATGATTTTGTAAATTTTTGTAACCTCCAAACCTTTTATTATTTTAAATATTTATGAAACACTTTCTACCTATTCTTGTGTAGTAAATATGGTGGAAAACGCATCTGAACGATGCAAGGAACTCTTGCAGGAAGTTACAAGGTTGTGTTCTGTGATCGAGTCCAGATCTCGTAAGTATATGATTAGAGTTTTTTGTCACATGAAATATGTATTACCTAGAGGTTGCGTGCATGCTTTCTACGCATGAAATTTACACGCGCGCGCTCATCTTGATGACGTCATTTGAATGTTTTGACGGGCAAAACATTAAGAAGGCACGCTTTTCGCTTCTTCAAACTCTTATAGCTCTTAAACAAAGGCCGTGACACCCCTTTTTTATTTGGGATTTTTAAAGTGCTCTATGATATTCAACTTTACAGAAAAAAAAATCAAAAATCTGACGAGGGATTCTTATTGAAATCACTTATTTTGTTAATATTTGGACATTGTATGACATTCTATTTGAAATGCCCCATAATATTAAACTTTTAACTTAAAAAGGATAACAATGGGATGATATGACCTTTTCAAGATTACACAATATTTCAATGCTGGCTGCAACATTATGATTGTTATCACCATAACATTTTATATTCCTAATAATTGTTTACTAGAATGTTTTCAAACCAGAGACAATTATAATAGCTGTATTTTATGCATCTGCTATTCTAATTTATATACATCAGGTATCAAAATGCATTGTCATTACATTGACACTAGATGAAACTATTCTGGTTATCAATTGTGCTAAATTTTTTTGTTAAATAACTTGACCCGCAATGATGAATTCTTTATCACATTCATGGTCCTGACTTGTCACCAGTCGTCCATCATGCTCTCTGATATGACTGGTGAAAAGTCAGCTTATAATCATTAAACCCTTGCTTATCACCAGTGCCATTTTAACTAATTTTTATGCAAGACAGGGATATCATCTAAGGTCCTGGTTAGATTGATCATTGCTAAATTGATTACTAAGCATGCCTGCTTACAGTTTGACAATAAATATTATTTTTAACGGTATTTATTAAAAAAATGTATTTTTATACCCCATGCATAGGAGGCACAAGACTTTGGGGGCCCAAGGAAAGAATTTTTTCGCTTATGCTTGGCAAAAATAAAAGAAACTTATTTTGATAATGGACTAAGAGAGCTAATGAGAGACAAGTATACCACAGTTGGAGTTATACTTGGWAGGTACCAACCATATTTATCCGTTCCAAAGAAATTGGGACTTGCTAAATGCAACAAAAAAAAGGCTGCATACTGATCCAACCCCCCCCCCCCCCAAACACACACACACACATTGTTTTGCCCAATGAAGTTCATCCACCCTTATTTTCTACTAAAGTTCGCTTAAGCATTAAATAAATACACTGTTTCGTGACAATCCCATTAAAAGAATTGATAACTGGAAGACAAAGATATATTAAGAAATTCACAAATACAAATCATTGTATCAAATTGTAGCTCTGAATAAAATCTTTGTTAAAGACTCTATACCAAGGCGACTGAAATAAATAAAACATTGTGAATGACTACAAACCTTAGACGCGAACAAGTTATTTAGTTTGTGACGTCAAAAGTGCAAATTACTCACCCGTCATGTTAAGCCAGCAAGCAACTGGTAAGATTTTTGAAACAAATCTTTGTTCTCAATATTTTTTATTTTTACACATAATTTTTGTTTGTTCATGTAATATTAACTGACACAGTATTAAATCAAGGCAGGCGAACTTCATTGTGCMACACAATGCCTGGGCAAAATAATCTTAACCATGAATTCATAGGATTACAAATACTGTATAACCACTGTTGATATTATTGTCAGTTGAGAATTTTCACTTTTAGATCTATAAAATCTTATGCCATGAAAGACGCATAGGAAGAGAAGTAAACAAAATTAAAATGTCCACAAAGTATTGCTAAAGTTTGGGCAGAGAAAAATTCTCAATTTTCATAGTAAYGTCATGTTATCATTATTTYTTATGATTATTSTTTAGAGTGTTGGCTATGATACTTTCTTTAATTTTTTGAAGGTCTTAGCATAATTCAAAATGGGCCTTTGCCAAGGTTCCTAAGCCTCGAGATCCTTGAAGAAGTTTTTGGGAATGAAAACCTGGGTCCTTGCCTACAAGAACTGYAAGATGGCCTAAAGAAGACTGGTATCCACCAGGTAACTTTAGGGATATTTGCACTTTTCAATTTCATTCAACATTTCTAGTCTATTGATGTCATGTATATGTCACCAAGTCATGTAATCATTTAAACAAAAATATTAAGAAGTCATTATTCTACCCCTGGTTTTTATAAATTTGATGTGATATTACATGAAGAATTTTTTGCATCTCTTACTGAAGGAAAAAAAGAAGTACTAAAAATACTTTCTTGGATCCCCTTGTTACACATATAGTTGTAATAAATCAAGTTATTGAAAAATTAGCCATTTGTCCATGTGCTTAAAGAAATTCTGGCCAGGAAAGCCTTTCTATTCATTCTATGACATTCTTTGTTGTTGTTTTTTAGGTTGGGAGTCAATTACCACTTTTCTTAYRTATTCTTAAACCAGGKCCCCCAAGCATTTTAACTGTAAGGAAATTGATTAGCCTACTGGAACCCCTATTCAGTGAGTCAGGGTCAAATAGAAGGGCACAGGAAAATGCTGTTTATGGTCAGTTTGTCAAGTATTTGAGAGAAGCTGCAAGTAAGTGACTGCTATGAAATAAAAATTCTGTTCATATGTAGTCGTAGAGCTATGTAACCTTCCTGTTATGCTATTTGGTATCTAAATAGATTAATAAGCTTGGTATTTCAAACTGGTTCACATTTAAAAACCAAAAATGATGATATTTGTTCTTAATTTTCTCTTTAAYGTATACAAACGTTTCCTTTAGTACTGAATAACTCGGACATGTATTTTAAGTATGAAGTCAGTCAGCCTCAACCCTGATGACATTTTTGTCCTTCACTTCCAAAATCCTTTTTGGTAGCTTCATTTATATATAGATATTTTCAAAGGCATTTCAAGATGTGAATGTGAAAAAACTTTGAAGAGGATTGAGGTAGTTGAAGTATGGAATGTCATTAGGGTAAGGGGGTCTATGAATAAGATAGAATTTTTTTTCAGAGCTTACATTAATTTTTACAATTATGCTGAATTTATAAGGCTTTAAAGAATGATTGGTTAAAAGCCAGTTTAATTTCATGTCTATTGTTAAACAGTATGCATTACATTATTAGATAGATAGATAGATGCTTTATTTAGACA